AAAAAAAAAAAAAAAAAAAAAAAAAAAAAAAACAAAAAAACAAAAACAATAAAATATATATATTTTGTTTCGTAGAGTAGAACTTTTAGATATAGATACTTTGTAGATATAATGAAATATATATATATTTTTATCTTCATTACATGGAATTATTATTATTTTTGGGATTTTTCTTGAGGGGATTCTGCATTCAGCTCTCGTATATAATATTTGACTCATTTATCTGTGGATATTTCCCCAATAATCAAGCACATGTGCTTACTGACTCAGTCTGTTCTCCCTTTCTCCCTCTCTGTCTCTCTCTTTCTCATTTATCATTTATTTGATACTTTTGATTGGATTTGACGATGCGTTCAACCAATTTTACATGTTTCACTGCATTCGATGGATTTTCTTATATCAGCTTTGTTTCGCTTCTTTTTCCAGCAATTAAAATGCTTAATTATAAATGAATATTGTTGCCTGAAAATTAATAAATAATACAGCTGACAAGTGCAAACAAACTGGGAACAAATAAATGAAAGAGGGAACAAAAAAAAAAAAAAATATTGGAAACAAAAAATTATTACGTAAAGCGCATAATAAAAATATCCACGTTTCGTTCATATTGTTTATTACATTTTGTTCAATTATAAAATATTGTGAAAAAAAGAATTTAAAAAAAAAAAATAATAATTGCATTGAGTGTGATGATTGACTGGCAAATACTCTGTAAAATCCATCAAAAGCAGCTTAGAAACATATTAAATATTCTTAAATATATTAAATATTCTTATTTAGCTATTTAACTGCTCGACAACTTTTTTATAGCCATATTCAATGTATTTTATAGCTGTGTTATAGCCTAAATTCCATATATAATATCATTTTCCAGTTAATAAAATAATGGCTTAGGCCCACTTGATAAGCCATTAAAAAGTGTTTCACCCATGGTTATATAAGAGAATTACTTTTAATGGCATTTTGCATTATTTATTGTGTTCCAATTTGATCAATATACGTGTATATATATGTATATAGCCTAATCCCCCTTTTGTCTATATAATCTCTGGGCAGAGAAAAGCTTCAGCTGCGATAAAAAACGCTGACGATTCGTGTGACGCCCCCGCAACTGCAATTGCAATAATTGACAATAATTTAAGTAATTACTGTGTGAAATTACTTTGATTTTTTTTCTAGCGTTTTTTATTTTTCGAGTTTTTTTTTTTAGTTTTTTTAAGCCCTCCCCCCTTTGGAGTCTCCCTCGCAGGCTTTGAACTTCCGCTGCAATAGGTTTTCGATAGGCAATCACGGCGTATAATTAATAATGGGCAGCGGTGTGTGTAATGATATAAGTACATGTACAGTAAGCACTCGATAGAAAGAACCTATTTAAAAGATAAATTATATTGAAAGAAAATATCAATATAATGAATGATAATGATAATGGGAGTTGCTGAAGTTAAGATAATAAGGTATATTTGATCCACATGAAAACAGTAATCTTTCTATAGAAAGAACTTGAGAATTGTGAAAGAAAGAAACTGAATATAGAACTAGATATTTCTGGAATTTAACTAAAAAACCAAAAAACCATTTTGATTGCCCATAATAAAAAAAATTTCTACCTATAAAAATAAATTTTTAAAATTTCGCAATTATAAAAATGAGTATAGTTTTATGTATCTCCACCCATAGACATCAGCCATACGTAATGCTTCTCGGTCTATGCCAATTTCTCTGGGCAATTGAAAGGCCCATCACGTGCATCGTGGCAACATTGTACGTGAACACTTCGATGCGACATCATGACATCGCAACTCGCTCTCTCTCTCTCTCTCTCACTACCTCTCTATATATAGAGAGAGATATATATGTCTATATATTCACATTCATATGTCTATAGTTGAGGGCTCTTCGCGTCCTATTGCTAATTGGTTTTGATTAGTTGAGGGCGTGCTATGAGCGACCCGCATTTGTCTCCTCTTCGCGTACCTAGGCCACTTTTCATGTACTCGAATCGAGTTCAATGTACTCGCAAGCAGCTACTGTTATTTTTGGGAGCACACACCTATACACACACACTCACACACTCACACTCGAATATTGCTGCAAGCGACATAAAATGCCTAAAATGGCAGCAACTCGTGCCTGAGCCTCACCTCAGGCTTGGGCAAGCGTTGCGGCCCACTGGGCAGAGTTCCTCAATATCCGCATCTTTCTAAACTTTTGTGTAGAGTATCCATATATATAAATATGTATATGTGTAGATACTGAATAGTACGGCGTATTAGTAGATAGCATATGCATCATATATAGACATGAGATACATTTATATCTTATAGATACATCTCTTAGATGCAGTTACATCTTGTGTGGTTTCTCTTCTATAGAACTATCTTCTCAATATTGACCTAAAATATATCAAATGTAGCCATCAGATACAACGAAATCGTCTTAAAGATACATCTCTAGATGGTAGATACTTTTTGTAGAGATACATTCAATTTGCATTAAAGAATATAAAATGAGATGCATCTCTAATCTATATTCATATATACTCTATACTCATATATACTCTCTATTCATGTATAGCCTACAGATACATCTTTTATAGGGTTCTCTAGATACATTTAGACATGACATACAACCACTATATCTATGATATCTACAATTAGACATGACATTTACTATATCTATGATATCTATTGCCAACAGTAGTTACCCATATTTATATATACAAGCTTTTATTCTCTCACATCTCTAAAATCAGGTGATTGTCGCTGACTCAGCGTATTTCGAGATACAATTGTGTGTACGTGCGCTGTCCATTTCCTGCATTGTTCCCCTCGACTAAGCGGCCGGCTCTGGTCTGGCATTTAGCCTATGTGTAGGTCTAGGGTCCAGTTCAGAATGCATCGGCCGAGCGTTGAAAAGAAAGATAGAGCGAGAGAGAGAGAGAGAGAGAGAGAGAGAGGCCTTTCGCTTTCATATAGAACAAAGCTTTAAATGATGATTAAACAAAAAATTTAATGAACAGCAGCAGAATAAAACTCGGATAGACCGCTGTCTAGCCTAAAGATACAATATCTATAGAATGCATGAATCATAAAATTTGCAAGCGGCGCTATGCCGATAAGGCGTAAGGGCAATAATGATAGGAAGATGTGGATAACGATGATAAGGCTGGTGGATAATGATGATAAGGACTAGGATGATAATGAGAATGAGGATGAGGGTAAGACTACATAGATATGCAGGAAAAAGATATGATAAAAGATAAATGTGTGAAAAAGATATGGATAATAGAGCTAAAATTAGATAGACAATGAGGATTGTGATAAGTATGTAGAGGTTAAAGTAAAATATGCGAATATCCTCAACATTCTTATGTTTACTGTTGCATCTAGTGACATGAAGATAAGACATATGGGCATCTATAATAGAAGAATGTGGATAATGACGATGTGACTTATGGACAATGATGCGGATAATTTGAGGGGTGATAGGGAGAGTGAGGATTAGGATAAGACTACGTATATATGGAAGACAATGATGCTGGCAATCATGATGATGTGATACAAAAGATCTCTCTATCTATATCAATCTCCCCCCTCTCTCTCTCAAACTTGTTATCTTTCTTTTCTTTTTTTGTTTATCAATCTCCCTCTCTCTTTCTCTGTCTGTAAAGCTGTCTCTCACTCTCTCACTCTCTCTCTCTCTCTCTCTCTCTCTCTCTCTCTCTCTCTCTCTCTC